TGGTGAACATCAGTGATGCTGTGGGATCGCGCCAACTAGTGGCCCTTCGACGTGCAATGTCAGCTGGAGATTGTGCCTCATCTTTACTTCCCGGCCAAGACAGACGTAGCTTTTAACTTCTTCCCTGCACTTTTTCAGGTGTTGCTTTTTTAGCCTTTCTCTGCTTTCCGTCGACGACTATCGCTTTCGAAATCCTCCTTCAACGTCAAAGAAAAGAGTGCGCCAAGTTTTAAATTTTCTTTTTATGTTTGTTTTTTTGTAACTTTTGTAGACTATGATAAGTTCTGACCACAGCAGCTCTTCTGGTTGTCCGCTCCAAAGAATTTATACTAAATAAATATAATTCTAGTTCGGAGAGTGGCCTGTAGGAACAGCAGCCCATATTCCTCAATTGGGCGCATGCGACGGCCCTCCTTTAATTGTTTGGCGAATGCAGCATCTGGGCTCCTTCTTCACTTCGTTTTGGCGGGCACAATTCGTCAGCTACTTCGATTCCTTGAACTCAGTTCGTTGGCTCGTATCGTCCTTATACCCTCAGACTTAGGTAATATAACCTTTATCAACAAATGATACAAAATCGAATGAACGTAACGCGAGAGTTAAGCGCGAAAACGTAGCAAAATGATATACATTATACAACATTGAAATATAAAAATTGGAGGTTGGGGGGTGCACACTGATTGTTGTTGGCGTACTGTGTTGTTGCCGGCTGCTGTTGATCTTACCGCAATCGATCGCCGTTGATGCTCCTCGCAGCCGCTCGTCGGTCGTTGCTGCGCGCAGAATAGACCGGCCGAAAGGTACTTGTTGTTGCTGCTCGGCGCCACCCGTTGTCGCCATACATATACAAAGATGAAAGTGCACATACACATGCCCTTTACACACAGACAAAAATATATACGTTTTCAAACTGGAAGAAAACTGCATAAACTTTTAAATTGGAATGAAACTGCATGGATCATGTTTTTGGGAGAAATTACATCTTCTCGACACTAACAGCATTTCAGTAATCAGAGATCCTCAGTTCTGACCGTCGCAATCCAGCATAGGCAAAAAGTTTATCGATGAGGGCCACTGGTCGAATTCGCTGTCGTAATCTAGGCAGTATTCCTGTGTCGCCTCAACTCCTCTGCATCCATTTGTTGAGGCCTGTTACGTTGGCTTGCAGCGTACAGTTTCATTTTTTCACTGGTTGGAATGACACGTACTCCTCCCACAACATGCTATGCTCGCTTTCCGTGCTGGAATTCGCCATTTCTGAGAAATATTTGAAAAGACACCAAAAATCCAAGAAGACATGATTAATTTCATTTTTTTTTGCACTTAGCACAAACCGATTTTATCTCATTTTGCTTCTTTCCAGAGCGAGTACTATCAGCAAACAGTTTGTTCGTCTCTGTCATGTTTAGTCCTGTTACCTTTGTTGTTTCTTTCTCTAGTGCTATGTTTCCAGTGTATTTATCCTTCCTTCCTCTTATAAGTTTTGTGTTAGAGTGCGCAATAATGATTCTGTTTGAAAATAGGCGATTAATGTGGATTCGAGTTCAGCACAGAACTTATTCACTTCATTCTTCTTATAGGCCATCTCGGGGAGTGCACTTAGTTGATTTGTATGTTTTATTAAAATCTAGCCTGAAGTAGTGTACATCATTTTATGAAGGTTAACTAACAAGAGATGGTTTGTGAATACCACTTCGTACTGGTACCAAACCCGACTTCACCAGTGATCCTCTGTCTTTCTCCAATGCCGAGCGAAATTGTTTTCCCATTCGATGGGTTCCGTCCTTCAACACGTGTTGATCTTCCTATTGATTTCTTAAAGAAGATGGTTCAAGAGAGAGCGGTCTACAGGCGTAGATACAAGCTGAAAAATCGAGGCCATTCCGTCACTGCGTCCGAACAGCAACTGAAATCTTTATAGCCTTTGAGTTCTCGACTCGCTGCCATAAACAAGACTTAAGGACGCATAGCATATTTGGCCTGTTTTCATTTCAATGTATCTGCAGCGTGAAAATGGAGCTTTCAATGGAAACAGATGAACTGGTATCGAATGTGAGTATGGACGATGAATGTCTGAGTGGTTCAGAACGAATCGTTCATGGTGTGGCGCATAAGCCGCTACTGTTTGCATTTCTGTACAATAAACGTAATAAAGAATTGGACTGCATTCTCAGAAAGATTGAACTGAAGACAAAAATATCCCGAGAAAAGGTGCAGATAACTAA